GTGACTCAGACTTACTGGGTCAGATGATCAGATATGCAGCCAACAGGAAGTTGTACACACTGATCTGTATTACAGATCAATGGTTGTACAGATAGTTTCACAAATATACTCAGCAAACTCCATCATTCAGACATTTCAGATTTGTTTGATTCAGATCTGCAGAGCTAAAAAAACATTTTAATAAGCTCCATTATGTGACAGGCAGGGGAGACAGGAAAGAACCAAAAAATTAAAAAAGGTTTTGTTAAAAATCAAAATAATTTATTTGTGATGTTTCAGAGCTTGATGTTACCTCAGCTTGTGTTAACCAAAAACATGCAAACTGGAGATTTGTATCTTTCTGCACCCTTTGATCTGAATCATTTCTCTAAAAAAAGTCAGAAAACACAGTACATCCTTTTAATAAAACTCATTTTCTGTCTATTTCTTTACAATAAATGCAAAAGTAGAATTTTCTTTTTTGTTATAACATCTATATTTCATTTTATTTCTTTCAATTCATTGTAATGATTTATTCTGGTTTCATTTCTGCCACATTTTGAATGACTTGCATTGAAGCGTGATAAAAAATGTCTTGTAAATAAGCACACAATCAGATTTGATTTTCTCTGAAACTGATTTGCACGACACGTTGCATAAGCTCAACCCTTTTAAAAAAAGTCAAAAACCACAGAAAGCCAGTTTTCAGCTGCAGATCTGAACACTGATGTTTCCACTCACATCTGTGAGACACTGAGGATGAGCTTGTCATCCCCAACACAAACCTGTGTCAGTGCTTGTGTTAGCACAACATCTCATGAAGCAGTGGTCAGATTTGAATCAAACTCACGAAGTAATGCAGGATGTCACAACAATGCATAAGAATAATGTTACGGTATTTTCGATGTTTCTTCAAAATGAAAACTGAAAGGCAGTGGGCGAAACGCAGTCCTTTAGTTTACACAGGCAGAGAAAATTATGACAAACTCCACACATGCAGGACATAGTCTGTTTAACTTCTACCCTCAGGAAGGTACCATAGAGCCCCATGCTTCGCTTCAGCCTTCAGAGGAGTTGGACGTGCTTTTTGCTCTCTCCAGAACCTACCCCCCACCCCCATTCTGCTTTGCTGCTCTTTCATACCTTTTTTTAACCTACCATCCAAAACAAAAAGGAACTATGGATTTGGTCAGCTGGTCTCTGAACGCAGTTGACACTATTTTTTCCACATTAAGACTGGAACGAGGAAAACGAAACTGTCCGAGTGGAACGGTTGCAGAGGGGCGCATCAGTGGCTCTTGGGGGGCTGGAACCTGATGTGTCTCGCACCACTTTCCATTGAAGACGTGGAAGATTTGTATATATTTGGATTTATGATAACTGGATTTCTGCTGATYGGAGGAGGCGGATTCCTGATATATCGAAAAGTGAACACGACCCCAACAGCGGTCCGGGCCGTTCAGAAGCTGTTGGGCACACTGGAAGGCTTGTGCCGGGCTGGGAGCATACAGACTCAGCTGCTGGGGGAGATAAATCGCAAACTGGATGTGGTTCTGACGAGGATTGCAGCTCAGGAGCGAGCCTCTCGTAGGATTATATCTGGGTGAAGCTCCAGACGGTGAAGAGTCTAGGAGAATTTGGCCAATTGGAATTTTTCGCCACTTTCAGAGACACAGTAAAGACACAAAAATCCAGGGGGTGGCCGGGGGTGGCAATGGCCACCACAGACAAATCTTTGGCCACCCCATTGGCCATCCTGCTGTGCACACCCCTTCCACAGTGAAACTACCTTTAGGGGTGTAATAATCCTCCTGAACAGTTGGTGGCAGTGTTTAACAGTTTGAAACATCACCAACTCAAAGAAGTGACAAAGAAGTATTTGCTTTTTTTATATACAGAACATACAGTATGCCTATGTAATCTGACTTATAGTGACAAATGTTTTTTTTTTTTTCACCATAACACAGTGTCATTTTATGCTATGAAGGCTGGATGATTCTCTGTCCCTTTTGGTTATGAGTAGACCTATCACTAAATCAGAAAAAATGAAACACATCTCTAAATTCACTGTTGGTGGTTATTAATGTTGCACCTGTTCATTGGGTAAAATTATTAATATTAGATTTAAAAATGCAGTTGAGGGTCATCATTATTTGGCACAATATGTTACAATTAAAAATTAACCAATAAACAATATAAAAGTAAAAAGCACCCCTAAAGTCATTAGATATGATCAATTGTGTCACGTTAATTAGCCTTATCTCAGCTGTAGCAGTGAATTTAAAAACAGGATGATAGATCTAGTTTAATGAATAATCTGTATCTGAAATAATTAAAYCAAGTGTTTATTTATGTAGGTAAAAGTATGTTAAACAACCTGGTAAAATACACCAGAATGCAGGAAACGACATCTATTTCATTCAAAATTTTCTGGAGGAGGACCCCAGACCCCCCAACAATGTGTGCCCCCACTTTTAAAATGGTTCTGACACCCATGCTTATTATATCACTGCCTGTATAAGGACATAAGGAAATGACCAAAACACAAAGATCTGTGGAAACCTTCAAGTAAAAAATGATGTAATTTTCCTGGCCACCCCTGTGTGAGTAGTGGTCCCCGTCTGGCCACCCCTGTGTGAGTAGTGGTCCCCGTCTGGCCACCCCTGTGTGAGTAGTGGTCCCCGTCTGGCCACCCCTGAGAAAAATGTCTGGCTTCACCACTGCTAAAAGCAGCAGAAATTCAAGGCTGTTTTGTCCCAAAACAATAGTGTTTATCTATTGGCTCCCAGTGGCATGGCCTTGACTGCCATGCTGTCTAAACTCCCCAAGGTTGATATGTCAACAAGGGCTTGATTCCTCCCACCCCCATCACCCGTGTTGGACCTGGCCGTGAACCCAAGGCCGAGGAGGAGGCGACTCTGAACTCTGGTGAACCGAGCGATAGACAGTATCATTACGAACTCAGGACTCTGACAGGGGCTGGTGTCAGGCTCTAGCATGGAGATCCACCCTCAACATCACCAGCTCCACTGAACCCCGCCCCATCTCCTGTGTTAACTGACCCAAGCTCCCTCCCCTGTATCGCGAGTTGTTTTTTCGTGCATATGATCTTATGTTTCTGATGTCAACACAGGGTCAGAGCAATTTTTTAAACTGATCTCTCCTATTGTGTGTTTCCAGCTGTTAAAGGTGGCGTGACCAGGTTGSGCATGACCTGTTTACCATGTTTTTTGTCATGTGTGCCTTAAGCATATAATTTACATTTTATTGTTTTTAAAAAGATGTTTTTCCTTTTACTTGTACATGCTGTGTCTCTTAAATGATTATTATTTTTAATTTTCTCACAAGTCTTTATTTCCATGTGTTGCTTTTACATTTCTCTATCTCCTGTATTTACATTTCCTGATGCATTTCTGCCTTATTATGTAAACAAGGTGGGCGGAGCTTCGTGTGTCAGCTCCTCTTCTATTGGTCAACAGACAGGAAAGAGAACCATGTGCAGATCTACTGTGCATGGTGCTGCTGCCTCAGTTTAAAGTTTAGCTTAAAACAAAGGCAAGTAAAACACTGACTCATGTCATAAAACATGAGGTAAAGTTATCCTTTTTTAATTTAATTGGTGCATTATAAGTGTGTTTATTTACTTATTTATTGGTCCATTTATATATTTCTGCTTTTATTTCTAATTGTCAGATTCAGTCCTACACACACCTGATGTGATCAGAGGACAATCAGCTCTGAGGCCATGGCTCTTAAGTGACATGCTCCTGCTGGGCTGAAGCTGAGTCTCTGCCTAAAGTGCATGAGTTCAAGTACCTGGGAGTTCTCTTAAAGAGTAATGGCAGGAAAAGCATTGCATTCACCACCAACAACAACAAATGAAAGGTTGAGATTAGGGGTCTGCCCCCCTTTAGTGACTGCAGTGATCCTCTGTAGGAACTAGACAAGGATCCTGGATCAGGGCCTCATCTGCAGGAATGGGGGCTTTGCCCAGGGTTTGGATTTTTAAAGCTTGCTTATGCACAAAAGGGGGACGGCTGTGGTGTAGTGGTAGAGCAGTCGGCTTTGKGACCCGCAAGTCACAGGTTCGACTCCCCACCATGCCTACATGTCGTGGTGTCTTTGAGCAAGACACCTAACCCCCAACTGCTCCCCGGGTGCCTACATGGCTGCCCGCTGCTCGACTTAGGTGTGGATGGGTCAAATGCAGAGCACAAATTTCATCATTGTATGGAAACATACACTGATGACCAATATAAGCACCTTTACCTTTACCCAGAAACGATTACTGTGTGTGGTGGTGGGGTTGCTGTYGGCCGCRGAGATGACAGCATCTGCTGCAAAGCAGGAGCAAAGGACAGCAGAAATGGAGAACTTACTTCTAGCCTTACGTCTAGTTGCAGAGCAGGCTGATAGATTGTTATTTATTGTTTTTTTTTTAACGTCCTCCAGGCTCTGACGTGTTAAATTAATTTGAAACTGGGGTTTAGAAAAAAATCTATAACCTGAAAAAAATCTGAGATTGCTCTGTATGTCTGCATGCCTGCAAAATGATGGAAAATCTGTGTAAATTACAATCTCTTCATGTAAGCAGTCATTATCACCTGTCCTCCTCCAGATGCACGGTGGAGCGTGTCTGAGCGTTGTCTCACTTCTGGATCATGATTCATGACCAAATAAAGCAGATCCCAGATTTAAGCAGCTGAAATGAGCTTCCTCTGCAGGCTGGCAGGACTCATCAGAATCATCCAGAGAAGCTTGGAGTGAAGCTGTTGCTCCTCCTCATCAAAAGCAATCAGCTGAGGTGGTTTGATCATCCTAAACCTAACAGGAAGGCTAACAGAAGATGTGACCTCAACTTGAGGAACTACTTTAAACTCATTTTTAAACAAATCCCTGTTGCAAAATAACTATTTCTACTATTAGAGATAAAGAAGTCAGATAGTCTGTCTACTCTGGCCTCAACCGTTGACATCAAAGTGGTGTTTTGGACAAAGTGAGGTCTGACAGGTAACTTACACACCTGTGGTTTATCATCAGTTCAAACAGATTAATTCATTTGATAAAGTGTGGAAAATAAAACATGAAGCAAACATAATTTAAAAGTCCAGTTGATGCACAGTCAGCATACATTTAGAAATGTAGCACAAAAACATACACAACATATAAGGTAAAACATTATTTTTGTATTTCCAAACTTCTCAAAAAGTTCCAATTTAAATTTAAAGCTACACACAAAAATAATTTCAGTAACAATTCTTTTCAGAGGCATTAAACCACAAAAGTGTAAAATATAACTACATAAAAACTGCAAACATTTCCATAAAATGTTCAAACTTGTCAGGTTCAGGCACAGTGCAGAAGTTATTTTCTTTTCAAAGACAAACATTTCAGCTCAGACAACATGGAGGCTGTTTCTGACTTTTCTTCCTCGTGTAACTCATTTACATCGTGTCTGACACAAACTTCCACATTTAAAGTTTTAATGTGCTGCTCAGACAAATCCTGAGACTCACACAATAAATTCATTAAAACCCGTCTGAACGTGTTCAGTTCAGCAGCAACGAAAAGTTGGGATGGAGCCCAAAGCTTGCRTAGTTTAAAAATAGTAACAAAGCAGAAGCTTCAAAGAAAACTCACGTAAAGTTGACCTAAAAAACAAAGCATTTCCACTCTTTTTCTGTGCTTTAACGAAGTAAACTTGAGTGTTAGTTTGATAAACCCACTGTTAAAACTATTTATTTTGTAACAGAAGCCTGTATTTTCCTGTTAATGCTGGAGTGTTTATACACATATATATTTTAGTGCTTAAATATATTCAGCTCCTGTGTTCAATCCCAGACTTGGATCAGGTCTGTTCACCACAAAGTAAGAGAGGACTCCTGCCTCGCTCTGCCCTCTGTCCTGGGTCAGTGTTTTGTGGCTCTACTGATGGAGTCACTGCATCAGACACTTCTCTTTCTGTTGTTTAGCATATTTCCTCCTCCGCTGCTCCAGTCCTCGATTCAGGCGCTCCTCCTCCTCCAGAGCTCTGGTGAGAAGAACAATCACATTCTGTTTGCTGATCCGATTCAAGAACGATCTTAACACAAAGCCTTGAAACACTGCTAATTCTTGTATCAAAAACAACAACATGCAAACATTTACACTAGATCAGTGTTGTATAAGGTACCTCAAAGTGATACTTGAGTAAATGTACAAGTATCTTATCATGAAATTACTTTGGTAAAAGTTAAAGTCTCCTCCAAGAATACAACCCCTGGCAATAAGTATGGAATCACCAGTCTTGGAWGAGCACTCATTCAGACATTTCATTCTGTAAAACAAACTCAGATCAAAAACATGATACAATAATAAGGTCATTCCAAAGTGCAACTTGTTGGCTTTCAGGAACACTCAAAGAAATGAAGAGAAAACATTGTGGAAGTCAGTGAATGTTACTTTTATTGACCAAGCACAGGRAAAAAAATATGGAATCACTCAAACTGGAGGTAGAAAATAAGGACACACTCAGTCATTTTCCTTTCCCCAAAAGGACACCTGCCTCAGATTAGATCTGCTCATTAGTCTGCAGTTAAAAACACCTGCAGTCATGACACCTTGGAGGGCTGCTGGACAAAGTGGAGTGGTTAGAAGCATGGCTCCAACAAGAGAAATGTCTCTTGAAACAAAATAGAGGATTGTGAAACTTCTTGAAGAAGGTAACTCTTCACGCATGGTTGCTAAAGATGTGGGCTGTTCACAGTCGGCTGTATCCAAGATATGGACCAAATACAAACAGCATGGAATGGTTGTTAAAGCCAAGTGTACTGGTAGACCAAKAAAGRCATYAAAGCAGATAAATACCAGAGGCAGGAGCTCAGGTGCTGAGGGTGTAGAAGAAATCAGAAGYTTGTCGGTGGTGCTCCGAAAAAAAAGCCAAAGCCAATAATAAAACCATAAAAACGGGCAGCACACCTTGTTAAAAATAATCAGGTCCTTTATTTCAAAAAGATGGACCAAAGGAGTAAAAAACAACAAGCCTACCGGTTTCGGCGGGATACACTCGCCTTCAACAGGGCTAGTAAATTTGCAAAGTAACAAACATGAAGTGACACAATCCACACAGACACACAGGTGACGACAATGATGAGGTGTGAGCCAATGGGAGCACTTCTCGCTGGATCATACCATTTCAGTCTCTGGGGAGGTTTACACCTGCTCAGAGTGAGACAAAATACAAAGATGATTACATACAATCAACGAGTGGATATTACATAAATGGTTTAAAATCCACTCCTTCATTCAAGCTGTAGTTTTCACAGGCTTAATAAAGGACCTGATTATTTTTAACAAGGTGTGCTGCCCGTTTTTATGGTTTTAAGGACATCAAAGCGTCAAGACAAACCAACTTAAGACCATTTGTCTTGAAAACCTAAAAAGCACAACTAAACATATGAAGCATATGTAAGAAAAAGATATGCTGGCTACCAGGCCTCACACGGCAGGCACCATAAATATGTAGGGTAATTTAAAGTTTAGAATTCTGAACTTTATAATTTGTGGATATAATTAAATACATCATATTTACATATGCTATATTTAATTATATCTTTACCTCGGAGCACCACA